TATACGAGCGCGTGCCCGGCGTCACCGCTGGGTGAACGCCTGGCGAGCGCATTCGGCTGCACTTACCCCTCAGAAACTACACGCCCCCCCCAAAAAAGAAAAAACTCCACTCCAAGTCCTCGCACCGGGCACCGCCGGCAGCTCAGCGCGGACCAGTCCACGATGGCCGACCACCGCGCGCAGCGCGCGCAGCGTGGCGTGCCGCACGCGCACCAGCCGCGGGTCAAAGACCGCGGCCCGCTTGCCGCGCAGCTCCCGCAGCGCCTCGCGCTCCGCGGCCGGCAGCGCTACCTCGGCCGCCAGCTCTGCGGGGCTGCACGCCTCTTCCGCCTGCGCGACCGTGGCCGCCGCAGCTGCCGCCAAGTCCCACAGGCCCACCAGGGTCTGCAGCGGGCGGCCACCGGTGGCCAGCAGCGCCTCGGCGCCGGCAGCCGCCGCGGCCTCGACGAAGGCCAGGGCGGCCAGGAGGGTGGGGGCCCGCGCGCCGGCGACCCAGGCGGCGTCCTCCAGGGCCAGCACCACCCTCGCCGCCGCGCTCCTCGACCCCCGCCCCGCCAGGGGGGCGGCGATCACCTGGCCAGCCACCCACGGATCCTTTGCCGCCGACCAGGCCAGCAGCTGCAGGGCTGCTGCGCCGGGCTCCGCCTGACCGTCCCCAGACTGGCAGCCGATGGCCGCGAGGCAGTCGAAGAGGGACAGCGGCCACAGGACGTGGGCGCCTGCCGCACAGGCCTCGAGTGCGGCGGATACCAGGAGGGCGTGCGACGGCAGGAGGGCGAGGAGGTGGGCCTGCAGGCGCGGCACTGCGGCCAGGAGGAAAGGGGCGCGGGCCAGGCAGTCCCGCACGAAGCCCAGAACCGCCGCCACGTCCACGTCCTCGTCCTCGCCGCCGTCCAGGTCCGACTCCAGCGCCGCGACCTGCCCCTGCAGCGCCGCCTCCATGGCACCAGTGGGCCCCGCCGAGGCCCTGGCGTGTGCCAGGGCCTCCAGCCGGGCTGTCAACAGGCCAGGTCCGCGCCCATCTGGGACAATACCCCCCAGCCTGGCAGCATGCTCTACCGCCTCTGTGTCGCGTCCGGCCATCAGGCACGCCGCGGCACAGCGGAAGGCAGCCTTCTGGACGGCGGCTGGGTCGGTGGCCTGGGCCAAGGAGGCTCGCGCATCCTGCAGGCTCTCCTCCCACTCCCCCAGCTTGTACCATGCCAGAGCGCGGTTGCAGAGGAGAGTCTGGCGCAGGCTGCTCCCATCTTGCGAGTTTTCAGGAGAATATCCCAGGGAGTCCAGGCCGCGCGTGAAGAAAGCGATGGCCTCCTCGTATCTCTGCGGGGGGGGTCAACGTTCAAACATGACGACGGGAGCAAACCCGATTGAGCCGAGCATTGTCCAACCCCTGTCATGTTTTCGTTGATATCGAGTACCCACATGCGATTTGAATGCCGCGTTGCCATGGAGCCGGCAATCATCTGCAATAGGGACGCTGGAGGACGGTGCCCTGTCCACCATGGTGCCGTGTGCACCTTCGCCTACTGTTCGGTATGCAAGGATCAGGCCCAAATTAACCTCATCGAAGATTTAATCACGCTGGTACACTCCTAAGTATAAGTCGGTACACATCCATGTCGTTCAATGTGTCGGGAACACCTCGCTCCGTGCAACTTGTGCCATGCCCCATGCTGCGCATGACGGACTCTCCTTCGTCCCTGGTAGCCCGTGATGTGGTCACACGAAGCACAGCACGACAGCTCATGCTGGCCTTCGTGCAAGCATGAGCCTTCATTACGGGAGATAAACGTCGCAACACTCAAAGCAAAAGAATTCATTTCCATCCTGCCATCGGCCGAAGTGGACATCCTGGCCCCGGGGCATCGCGTACCTGTTTGCTGATTTCAGAGTCACCCGACGACCACGTCTCTTTCGAACTACATGATGCCTTGACATACTCTTACCACATAATGACCGACATGGAGGACTCCCCGCCCTCTCAGGAGGAACAGCAGCGTCGCTCCGAGAATGTCCAGGCCCTCCTGGATGGAAGGCGAGTACACAGGGTTGGGGAACTTGCCCGCGAAACTCGATCAAGTCATGCACGTGAATTACGACAAGATGCGCAGGAAGATGCAGAACCTCCTTGAAATTCTTTCGCATTCCTGCCCGCAGTTTGGAGGTTGCACGCGGTGCGCTGCTGCCAAAGATCCTCATCGTAGCTCAGGGGGAGGCTGTGCTGAAGAAGCCATTCAAGTCTCCGCACCCCGGCGCCCCCGCCAAGTCGAATGTGAGCTGGATACCTGCGGGTTTCGGACAGCTTCCCCTATGTTGGCTCATTCAGATCCATTCGACCCCCCCTACCTTCTACAACCCCCCTTCCGGGCAGTCCTTGCGACGTTTCCTTTCAAGCCGGAAACACTTTGTGCCATGGGGTCAGGGCCAGCCCCTCCCCACCCCGCTGCGGCCTCTCCCAGACTCCAGCTCACCCCCAGAGCCCAGTCCCTCGCCCCCTGCCAAGGTGTGCCTGGCTGTGGGCTGGGGCTGACTGTGCTTGCTCCACGTGGTTGTCACATATATGCTTCTGTGGCATCAACCTCCCAGGCCTCATATTGCCTGGTTCAGCTGTGTGGAATTCAGGACCACAAATCCTCCTCATCCGCCCTTTCCCCCTCTTAACTATCGCCAGATCGAGCTGCCGCCTGGCATAGAGCCTCTGATTCTGTGGACCCCGGCCGAGGGGCAGGAGGGCACCCCCGTGGAAGTTGACCCGATGCTGACTCGCTGGCTCCGACCCCACCAGCGTGAGGGCGTGGCCTTCATGTTTGAGTGCGTCACCGGCCTCAGGCCCTTTGATGGCCAAGGTGGGGCCGGACGTGGGGCTGGGTTGAGCCACTCAGGAATGCTCGGGTGTTTGCTGTGTGGGAAGAAGAGGGAAGAACGCATCCTCTCATGCCCTCCCATGTGAAGTCGCTGTCCATCCTGCGAGCACCCCCCCCTCCCGCCCCTGCCAAGGCTGCATCCTGGCCGACGACATGGGGCTGGGCAAGACGCTGCAGGGCATTGGCCTGCTGTGGACCCTGCTGCACGCCCGGGCCCCCGCCCTGGGGGGCACCCCCGTGGCCAAGCGCGCCATCATCTGCTGCCCCACCAGCCTGGTGGCCAACTGGGACTCGGAGTGCAGCAAGTGGCTGGACGGGCGGGTCAGGACGCTGCCCCTGGCCGAGAGCTCGCGGGAAGATGTCATCGCGGGGGTGAACTCCTTCCTCCACCCCAATCACATCCACCAGGTGAGGAAGGGAGGGGCCGGTTGGGGGGGGGGGTGATGAGGAGCTGGGCCGAGGACGGATGGGTGTTGATGCACTCCATGCAAACTGGGACCCCAGAGGTGGTGGAGACTCGCCGCCAGCCTGCTTGCCATGCATGGCAGGGGACACTGTGACTGGCCACTCCCACTGTCGAGTGTACTCCTGAAAAGGACGGCTGTCATCACAGTCGCCGGAGCGCATGGCCCCGGGATCCAGGAGCCCCATCTGCTGCCCCCATGAACCAAACCACCATTGTACCTCTCTGGCCCCCCTTGTATCCTCTTGACCCACAGGTGATGATCGTGTCGTACGAGACTTTCCGGCTGCATGCGGAGCGTTTCAGGGAGGCGGGCACCTGCGACCTGCTCATCTGCGACGAGGCGCACCGCCTCAAGAACGACGCCACCCTGACCAACCGGGCGCTGGGTGCCATGGCCTGCCGCCGCCGCGTCCTGCTGTCCGGCACGCCGCTCCAGAACAAGCTGGACGAGTTTTACGGTGAGTTGGCCGCGTGCAGGACCGGGTGAGGAGGGTGTTGAGGGGTTGGACAAGATCACAGAACAGGCGATGCACAAATGCGGCAAGAGGTGGCCCACCGTTCAGGAGACCCGGAGACAGCCGCGCTGCTGTGCACGCCCATGGATCCTCACCCCAAGCCCTTCCCTGCCGACCCTCAGCCATGGTGGACTTCTGCAACCCTGGGGTGCTGGGAGGTGCTGGCGCGTTCCGGCGCTATTTTGAGGGGCCCATCCTGGCGGGCAGGGAGCCTGACGCCAGCGACGCTGAGGTGATGATGTGTTGAGAGATAGGGTTGGGCAGCGTGGCATGTCCCGGCTGTGACTGGAATGGGTGGGGCTCTAGGAGCGGTTGCTGTGCAGCCAGCGAGCCTGTCCATCGTCCAGGAAACTGTCCTCTGCCTTTGCTGTTCATCGCATCATCGAGTAGGCATGAACAACTCCACCACGCCTCGCCTCAACCTCCTCCCAACCTCGCCCGCCACCCTGCACCGTGCAGGTGGAGGCCGGCGCCTCACGCACCGCCGAGCTTTCCTCCATCGTCAACCACTTCATCCTGCGACGCACCAACACGCTGCTCTCCGCCCACCTCCCACCCAAGGTGGTGGAGGTGGTGTGCTGCAGCATGACCCCCCTCCAGGCCTCCCTGTACACCCATTTCCTCGACTCCAAGGCTGCGGCAGCGCTCTTCACCTCCCAGCGTGCCGCCAGGGTCCTCAGCGCCATCACCTCACTCAAGAAGCTGCTCAGCCACCCCAAGTGAGGGGTTTGGAGTGCTGTGGGAAGGGGAAGTGGGGTAGGTGTGTGGGAGACATGGGAGCGCTGAGCAGAGGCATGCACCCTTCACACCAGCAACAGATGTGCATGTTGGAGAGGACGATGACAGCCGCCTGGCAACAGCGCTCCCCCACGTCGACCACGTACCCACGCAGGCTCATTTATGACACGCTGCATGCGCCCGGGGCAAAGGGGGGCGAAGCCGATGGCTTTGCGGGTGCCGGTGCCTTCTTTCCCCCGGGCCTGTTTGATGACGGACGACCGGGGCGGGGTTCCATGCCCCTGGGTTGGGAGCACCTCTCTGGTGAGTGCATGAGTGGGGCATGGGGCGCTGAGACGGCTGTGGGTGCTCCCGGTTGGCCAGGGCGGCAGAGACGCGCGCGAGGTTGAGCTCACTGCCAGAGCATTGAGCTTCCTAAGGGGTGGGACAATCCAGTGATGCCGTGCAGCACTGCCCATCTTGTAGCGGCCTGCCCAGCAACCTGCCGGTGTGTAATCAGCTGACTCCTGCAAATTAATCACCCTTGCTATGCGTATTCTCAGGGAAATTCTCCGTGCTGGCAAAGCTCCTGGATGTGCTGCGGCGGCTGACGACCGATCGTATCGTCGTTGTCTCCAACTATACACAGACCCTGGATCTTGTGGGACAGGTGAGCTGCCCGGCTGTCAGGGTGTGTTCCTGTCTGCTTGATTGCTCTGAACAGCGATTGAATGCAAGGTGCAGAGCGTCGTTGAGCATGGCAATGCAACTGTGAGGTGCTTGCGCCCTCGGACACTGCACCCCTCCTTCTACGGCCACTATTGGAATGATCCTGTCCCTCACCACTGCTCTGCCGAGCAGCTGTGCCGTGAGCGGGGCTACCCCTTCCTGCGCCTGGATGGTTCCACAACCATCAACAAGCGACAGAAGCTGGTAAAGGCCTTTTGTGATCCTACTGGTGAGTGGCATGGTGATCGCCATGCATCTGAGGAGGCCCACTGTCTCCTGCCATTACTTTCGTCACAAAGGCTGAAATGCCCGCAGTAGTGTCGACAGCCTGGGTCCTGGTGGGCAGGCGCTCAGCCAAGCAGTCATGGTCAATCACTCTCACAATGTACAACAACTCCCTGCCTGGCCCCTACTTGTGACAGAGGACCACTTTGTGTTCCTCCTCTCCTCCAAAGCTGGCGGATGTGGGCTGAACCTCATCGGCGGCAATCGCCTCGTCCTGTGAGTCGGCGCTGTGCACATGGTGCAGGGAGCAGACTCTGCGGATGGCTTGCTTGAGATGAATCTCAGCCATGTCACGGTTCTTGGCTTCCCTTTCATAGCACACCACCCCCTACTCCTGCAGTTTTGATCCCAGCTGGAATCCCGCAGATGACAAACGTGAGTGGAGTTGGGAGGGGTTCGGCCGCAGGTCAGGAGAGGATTGTCCCAATATGCAGCCAGGCACGATTCCCTGTGCCTGAGCTGGGCCAGGCTCCATAGGATCAGGCAACCGACCACACAACCCCAACACATGTCGCTTGCCCGTGCAGAGGCGGCGGCCCGCGTCTGGCGTGACGGGCAAAAGAAAAAGGCAAGTCCCCGGTGGCATTGGGGCTCCTTTTTGCTTTTCTGCGGGGCCTCTGCCCTGCAGGGACCTGGCAGCTGCGGGGCCTGTCTCAGACTTGCCCGCACCCCACAGGCCCCCAACCCCAACATCTGCACCCCTGGACTCTCGTCCCCCGGACCCACCCGCAGGTGTACGTGTACCGCTTCCTGACCACGGGCACCATTGAGGAGAAGGTGTACCAGCGCCAGCTGTCCAAGGAGGGCCTGCAGCAGGTGGTGGACACCTCGGCCGGCGCCGGGGCCGGCGGCGCCGGCGGCGGCAACCTGATGAGCATCGAGGAGCTGCGGGACCTGTTCACGCACGACGCCGCCACGTTGTCCAGCACCTACGACGCCGTCTGCGCCAAGAAGAAGGCCGGCACAGGCGGAGGGGTGAGTGGGGGAGCGGAAGGGGTCTGGAGGAGTGGGGACCGGAGTGCGCAGGCGAGGGTGGGAGGACCAGGGTTGGGAGCCTCCCCGCCATCCTCCAGGACCAGCCGTCCCTCTCCAGCACCGCGCTCAACCCAACACCCATCCACACACACACAGGGCGCCCGTCTTGCAGTGGGCGGCGCGGCCCAAGCCCCGCAGCGCGCCGGCGCCGGACCCGTGGCTCTTCCCCCGGACTACCACCGCCCCCAGGTGGGCCACCCTCCCGAGGAGGACCTGGGGTCCTGGGCGCACCACCGCAGCGTGCACAGCGTGCCCGACCCCGCGCTGCGCGAGGCCGGCGGCGAGCACGTGTCCTTCGTCTTCGCGCTGGATGTGGCGGGGCGGGACATCGGGCCCGAGGCCCCGTTGGCCCCCGTGGCGCGGCGCCCGGGCTCGGGGGCCGCGCCCTGGGGCGGGCGGGCGGGGCCGGGCCGGAGCGCGGCGCCGCGGCCCGCGCTGGACGGCGACAAGGAGAACCTGGGGGTGCCGGGGAAGGTGGCTGCCGCGGGGAGCACCGCGCTGGACGCCAGGTGGGGAAGGGGGATGGATGCTCGCGTGTGCATGGGTTGGGGAAGGGTGGGGACAGTGACTCTCCAGCATAGTCAGCACCGACGCTAACAACCCCTTTGACCAATGCTGGGGCAAGACTGGATCCCACCAGCTCCTTTGAAATGAACCCCACCCCTCCCTCGCCCACCCCGGAGCGCAGGGGCCTCAAGCCGACCATGCCCCGACCCATGATCGGGCGGCCCAGCGGCCAGACCTTCTCCTTGCCCAAGCGCATACGAGCAGGCCCGCCCGACCTCAAACCTGGCGGCGAGCCCCAGGCCCGGCCGCCAGTCCCCTCGCTTGCTGACATGGACGATGACGATGCCTTCCTGTGACATGATATGTCTTCATCACACCCCTGGTGTACCCACCGCTGTACCCACTAATTTAACACGCAGTTTGCATGTACAGCAGACCGAAGTGGAGCCGTGGCGAGGGTGCCACGGCAGTGCCGCTCCGGCCTATGCGCCCATGCCAAGCCCAAGGCAGGACCGAATGAACGGAGTGGCCGTAGCATTGGCGCAAGTCTCTACAGGCAGGACCGCGGGCTGCGCATCCTCAGGACAACCCCCCCCCAAGTCAGGCGCGCGCGGCGTCGGCCGCCCGCTCCTCGCTCTCCTCCTGCAGGTGCCGCTCCTCCCGCTCCTCCGCCGCCAGCTGGGCGATGATGGACTCCTCGGCCACGGGTGGCTGGTGCGCAGGCTCCGACGCGTTGCTGGCGCCGGCGCCGCGCTGGCGCCGCATGCTGGTGCGCAGGTGCGACTTGGTGGCCAGCAGCTGCGCCTTGGGCGGCGAGACTGCGTTGCCCATCACCCAGGGGTCATTGAGGATCTGGAGGGCGGGCGGTCGTGGAGGGGAGGGATGGCATGGTTTAGGAGGGTGTTGTGTTGTGACTCTTGGGCATGGAGTTGTCGCCGGCAGCAGGGCAGGGCGGATGCGGAGTTCAAAAGCATGTGGTTCCCAAGGACCGGGCGGCCACCCCGCAAACAAGGGTGCAAGCGAGGCCGGCATGCCTGCGGGTTCCAAGAGTCCCAGCAGCCGAGCATGCACTGTGGGCCCCTGCGCCAGTGTTCTTCCGGAGCCCACACCCCAGCCCACACACAAACATGAGACCTGCTCACATCCTCGCAGGTGGGCCGGAGGGCAGGGTCCAGGGTCAGGCACCGCTTGATGAGCTCCTTGGCGCTGTCACTGATCTGCTCCCACACAGGGTCGTTGAACGAGTATGCGCCCCGCCTGCCATGGGCGCATGGGTTGGTGGGGGTCTGCGGCGGCTTGGGGGTGATGAAGGTCAGCACACCTGAGCCCTCGCCGACCCCACCACACCCACCTGATCTTGTCAAACAGGCGCGGCTCCGACTCGTCGTAAAAGGGCGGGTAGCCGCCCAGCAGCACAAAGAGGATGACGCCGCACGACCAGACGTCGCACGACAGCTTGTAGGAGTGGAAGCCGCTCTTGGCGCCCTTGGCGATGACCTCCGGCGCAACGTACTGTGGCGTGCCGCAGATGGTGGACAGCGAGGTGGCGGCCTGGCCCTTTGCTAACCCAAAGTCGGCAATCTTCACGCCCATGATGTCCCCTCGCTTGGCCATCAGCAGGTTCTCCAGCTTCAGGTCGCGGTGGGCGATGCCCTTGGAGTGGAGGTACCCCACGCCGGCCACGATCTGGCGGAAGATGATGCGCGCCTCGTTCTCAGAGTAGTGCCCGATGTCCAGCACCGCGTCCAGCAGCTCGCCGCCTGGGGGCGGTGAGGAGCGTGTTCTTGTTGTTTTATCGTGAGGGGAGAGCTGGGCGCCCTGGTATGAGTGTGACGTTCATGGCAGGGATCCAGGAAGAAAGATGGGGGGCCCCAACACCCCCCACCTTGTCCGGAGTCTGCCTCCTCGAATCCCGGTTCTAGAAGCGCTCAGGTGCCACCACGTGGCCAACCCCTATAAAATCCCACATGGACATCTCCGAACCCAACCCCATCACACTTGACCATGTACCTCTGCCTCCTCACCTCCCAGGTACTCCATGACCAGGTACGCCTTGTTCCCCTCCTCAAAGTATTCCCGCAGGTAGATGATATTGGGGTGGTCCAGGGAGATGAGGATGTTGATCTCCTTGAAGATGTCCTCCCGCGTCACCTCGGCGGCATTGGAGGCGCCAGGCGGGGGCAGGCTCATGATTTTACAGGCATACTCATCGCCCGTCTCCTTGTGCGTGGCAAGCTTGACCACCGAGAACCCTGCAGGCATGTCAGAGCGTGCAGTGGTGAAGCAGCCTTGCGGAGGCAGCCAGAGTGCAGTTGAGCCGTGTTGCTCAAGGCATTCATGAAACGGTTCCCAGTCTCAGTCACTGGCCATGACTCCCCGAGCCCACATGCGCACGCACCATCCAGGAATCCAGCCCCCATCCCCACATGCTTGATTCACACGCCGCGATACCCACCTCCAGTTCCCAAAGTGCGGCCGATGCGGTAGATGTCGCGTACGCTCACACCAGTTTTCGTCACCTGCAGGTTGCTGCTCAGCGCCAGGGGGAGGGAGGGCGCAGGGGTGTGCGGGGTGCATCGCCATCGCATCGAAGGCAGGGCAGGGGATTCCAACGCCCATGGACCCCCGCATCCCACTGTCAGCCACCCCGCCAAGCGCACCTTGTGGGTGTGAGGCGCGATACCTGTCGGGGCACCACCCCTTGTTGTTTGGGGAACTGGTCCGGGGGGGTGCAGCATGCATTCCCCATCGCCGCCGGCTTCTCCTTCCTGGTCTCCCTCGGCCTGTCTGCGCGAGAGGAAGTGAGGGGGGGGGGGGGGGAGTTTGAGGAGGACGCAGTCGACGCCTTCGACGGTTTTTTCCGTACCGCAAGCCGGTTGCGAAACCCCGGGCCCCGCACCCTCGACAGGAGGTACACGCGAGGACTCTCGTCGCGACTTTGATTTAGACTTGTCGGAGATGCCCAGGACCTTAGCAAAGGGCTTGAACACGCTCTTGAAGAAGACCTCCAACTTGTCCTCCTTGCTGCCCATGTAGGCTGCCAGGCACCAGGGAGACTCAGGAGGCGGCGAGACCAGCACAGTACTCTATGTTGAGCCCACGAGGTCGTTCGAACGTGCGCAAAAGCGCTTCACGAACGTATGCTCAGTGTTGGGCCGGACTCGCCTCTCTGTAAGACCCGAGTTGTGCCAGGGTTTGAAGTTCTAGCGAGCAGAATGCACGAAGCTGGTGTCGTGCCACCATCCTCCACACAAAGGACGGTTTATCGTACGAGTGCTGGGTAGGACGGGTAAATGGCCAGGCTCGCAATCGGAACCCTGATTTGGCGCCAGATCTGAGGGGAGATCCGCACAATATGCGATCGCTGGGTAGTTGCCCACATCATCTTAAGAAGTGTGCTGGCAATGATTGACGAGGTACGATTCGTGAACTGGAACAACAGAAGGCTAGATGACATCGTCTGTGCCTGCTCAGCGCCGCCCAATGGGTCCAAAAAATCACCTCCGTGAGCAGAGCTGGGGAGGCTATGACGAGAAACCGTTGGTCAATTTGCGCAGAGGGACTGTAAAGATTGCAGCTGAGCAAGATGAATCAGGAAACCCACAGTCTTATGCCCTTGCTGAATGTATTGAGTGCAATCAGCTTCGAGTTTTGCCGCCCTCCCATTCTATTTTCTTCAGCTGACCCACACTCAGACCTCCAGCCTGTAGCGAACGAACTCAGCACACCATGGGATAGTCCCCGCCATCTTCGAACCATGCCGACGTGTCGCAACATTTTGATCTGAGAATCCATCCATTCTTGGTGCGTAGCATAACATCCGGGAGCCGGTGCTGCCGGACCTGGACTCGTTCCGGCGAACCTGTGCTATGCATCCCTGACATACGAACATGGCCTCCCCCCTGCTCCGACACGTCATGGAGCAGGCGTGGGCCTCACCAGGTGCCCAGACTGATTGCAAAGGAAGATGAGCAAATTTTTATTAGGTGATCGACTTCCGCGTCAGGCGTGGTGGGAAGCGCATAGCAGTGCTGAGGTGGCTCAAGGCATGCTGGAACCTCCAGGCTTCCCCTCTCACCATCACCCGCCCCAGCCGCTGCGCCTGAGCATGCTGGAGAGGAGGATTCTAGCACTTCTGGAGTATGGAGTGATTACTTTCAGGGTCAGGAGACTGTGGCCCTGCGTAGTCGTCAGCTGGACATGAATGTCTACAGCGCTGGGCCCCCGGATGCACCCATGCTCCTGTGCCTGCATGGCGGAGGCTACACAGGCCTGTCCTGGGGCGTGCTGGCGGCCGAGCTGCGGGGCATACAGTGAGCATTCGTTGTGCTGGGTGTGGTCTTATTGATCCCCGCGCTGAGGAACGAGCAAGGTGCATGGGTAGGGTACATCCCGTCACAAGGGCCCAAGCCCACCCCGCCAGCAACATGGGGCCTGTGTCCGCCGCCGCGCAGGTGCCAGGTGGTGGCTCCCGACCTGCGGGGCCACGGGGAGACCAGGAGCCCGGACGATGCCGACCTGGCGGCCGAGACCCTGGCCGCTGACGTGGCGGAGCTCTGGCACGTCCTGGCCGCACGGCGGCGGCTGACGACCCCGCTGGTCCTGGTGGGGCACAGCATGGGGGGCGCCGTTGCCGTCTGGGCCGCCCGCCGTATCCTGGAGGAAGGTGTGTCTTGTTGCAGGCGGCGGGATGTTCCGGGATGTATGTGGCCTGCCAGGTGAGGAGAGGAGTATCGAGGAGAGACCCCTCCCCCTCGGTGGCAGGTGACGCACTTCCGGTGCATGCCCTCCCCTCCCTCACACACACAGACAACCCACACACATACAGTATCAACCACACCCTCCCCCACAGATGCTAGCTGCCCGCTGGCCGGTGTGGCGGTGATCGATGTGGTGGAGGGGACGGCGCTCGCCGCGCTGCCCTCCATGCGCAGCGTGCTCAGCGCGCGACCGGCACGCTTTGCCAGCCTGAAGGAGGCGCTGGCCTGGGCGCGGGCGACGCACGCCACCACCAATCCCTCCGCCGCGCGCCTGTCGCTGCCCTCCCAGCTGCGGTGGGAGGAGGCGGGGGCGGCGACGGAGACGACGCGTGGCGCGGGTGTGCTCCCCCTCCCTCCCAGCCTGCCCAGCATCTCGGAGGATGGCGGGGTCGGTGCGACAGGCGCTGAAGTTCAACGGGCCCCCGGCCTTCCCCCTCGTCCACCACTGGGGCGGCCCAAGGCCCCAGACCAGGCCAGAGGGGGCTGGGTCTGGCGCACGCCCCTGCCCGACTCCGCGCCCTTCTGGGACGGCTGGTATCGGGGCCTGAGCCCCGCCTTCCTGGGCCTGCCCTGTCCCAAGGTGCTGGTGCTGGCGGGGACGGACCGCCTGGACAAGGCACTGACCATCGGCCAGATGCAGGGCAGGTTCCAGCTGGCCCTGCTCCCCCAGGCGTGTTTGGATTTGGTTGATGCAGGGGGGCCGTCCTGAGGGGATACGAGGTTCGAAGGCGGAATCACACTGCTCCCCGACGTGGGGAATGCGCCTGCGCTGCTCCAGCTGCTTTGAGCCGCGACCCTGGACGACACACTGGCGCGACATCACGTCCCAGGCCCCGCACCCTCGCAGGCGGGGCATGCCGTGCACGAGGACGCGCCCGGGGCGGTGGCTGGCATCCTTTCTGGCTTCCTGGCGCGGCACAGGGTGGGCCTGCCGGGACTGGCCATACCCTCGAGATCGCCGGGCACCCAGCATCCTGCGCCCTCACCCGGCTAGGCCGCTGCACGGCCAGGTCAGCAAGGCCGCCAGCAAGTGCACGCAGTGCACTGGATCGAGCGGTGGTTACAAGCGAGGGCCAAGCGGGGGCAGGCGCCCAGTCAGCAGCGTCATGTCTCGCCCAGAGTCAAGCGTCGCAGACCCTTTCCCAGGGGTGCGGGCGGCCACGGGCAAGGGGGAGGCAGGCCCACGGCGGACCACCCCCCCCCCTCTCAACTGGAGCCGAAGCCTCGCGTGGTGCCGATGACCACCAGCACGACGATGAGGATGACGATGATGCCGGTGATGAGGCCGCAGCACATCCACTTGCGCTTGGAGCGCTGGTGCTGCTTGGCCGCCTGCAGGTGGTTGGTTCCCGCCTGCACGTATCCCACCGACCGCGCCACCTGCGCCTCGATGTTGTCCAGCAGCTCTCCCTGCGCCTCCACCAGCACCGCCATGTCCAGGAAAATCTGGGGCAGTGAGGGAGGGAAAGATGGGTGAAGGCGTTTTGGGTGAAGTGTGTGGAGGGAGGGGTACAAAGGGTGTGAAAGGATGTGCCACTGGAGGGTGACCACAGAAGGACAGTGGGATGGGAGGCAACGCCTGGCACGCCAAGAGCGACGGCGCCCTTTTGGGATGCTGACGTATGCGAGCCCCCCGACACTCCTCCTTCCACACACTGCAAACCTGGTGCAGCTCCATCAGCGACATCTCCAGCTCCATGACTGCATCACGCCGCTCCCTGATCTCGGCCAGCGTGTCCAAGACCTGGTGGGCAGGGGACGGGCATGCCATGGTGATGCTGAGGGGGTCCGGCAGGTCATGTGAAGCAAGGGCACAAGAGGGACAGCCTGCAGTGGCTCCCAGGCATGGAAGGCATGAAATTTGGTCGTGAAACACCCCTCCTCAACCCCCCCCTCCCTTCTATGTCGCCACTCACATAGCCCCTGCCCTGTTCAAGGATGGCCTTCTGGAAAATGGTCTCGGACTCCCCCGTGTCGATCATGTGGTCGATCTTTTCCTCGTCAGCATGCTGACCCGTCACTGTGATGGGTAGAGAGGCAGACTCGGCGCGGAAAGCCAGAGACATGTGAGATACCTCGCCCCATTCCCACACTTGCGAACACTATGGTAGGGTCATCTGAGTAGGAGGCCTCGAGGACCCCTCTCCACATCCTTCTACCCCAGAGGACAGAGGGCCTCTAGGCCTGGTCAGGCTGGGGCCATCACCAAAGAGCAGCCAAGCGAGCCTATGAAATCCCGCAATTATCTTATGCCCCCCCCTTAAAGAAACCCTCTACACACCTGTGTACACCCGGCGCTCCACTACCTCCCGGTATTCCGCATTCACACGTGTCCGCAGGTCCTGGAACTCCCCCATCAGGTCCTTGAGCTTCTTCTTCAGTGCCCCCGTGATGGCGGTGCGCGTGCGCTCCGCGCTCGACCCGGGCGCGTACACGCCCTTCTTCAGCGCCGCCTCGTTGTTCCGGTCCAGCTCCGCCAGTCGCTTCTTGATGGCCTCCGCCGAGCGCGACACCTGGTTGATCTCGGCCTGCATCTTCTCCCGCAGGTCCCGCATCTCAGCGGAGCGGGTGATGGTCTTGGACTGCTCGTGCGCGTCGGACAGCTTGCCCTGGTTGCGGCGGATCTCCCCCATCAGCGACTGCATGGGTGGGGAGAAGAGGAGGGATGCAGGTTGGGAGAGGAAGCAGAGGACAGCGTCCCTGAGCATCAGGCCTCTGCACCACAGACCCTAGGGTCACAGCAAGCCCGCATGGCTGAAGGGCCGTCTGCTGCAGCAACCTTTGCGCCCAGCCCAAGAATTCACTCAACACCCTTCGTGCCTTGATAGCGGCCACCTCCTTGAAGAAACCCTCCATGCTCTTCTCCTCCCCTTCTTCCTCCTTGGTGGGGGAGGGTGGGGTGGAGATCTGCGCCTCCAAGTCCGGCGGGGCTTGTGTTGCATCCTGGTCCTGGCGGGTTCCGGGAGCGGAGCGGGGAGTCAGCTTCCCCGGCTGGATGTACATGACATGGGCTACCAAGCGATGTGCATACCTTTATGAGGGAGAGGAGGTCGTTCATGGCGCCCGGCCGATCAACTGGCAACCGTCAAGCGACAAATGACGACGGAGCACAGAGGGAGAGGAGCTGCAGATTCGTGGCGCTGCGCCAGACCTCTGCAACCCCAGTCGGGAATCAAATGAGGTGATTGACAAAGGGCTGGAGTCCCCGTCTCCAGGGATCGTGCACACGGCGAAAGGGATACTATGGGCGCTGGCCGCTGAATTTGCTGAAATGTAAGGGCCTCCTCAGCTAACGCTGTATCCTTCAAGACCTGAGAGGTTTGTGTCACAGTACGAAGGTGTGTAGAGAAAGCCATTGCCGCCAAGTTTTCGGGCGATGATCGTGAGCCCACTCGCTGCTGGACTGGGTCTGGATCTAGCAGGCGCGGAATTCAGCCCCGACACACACAGGCCCATGTCGATTGGGGCAGGACGCGCGCTGTGCTTGCTGGTGCAAAGCGTCGATCTCCTCGATTCCAGGTTTTCCCCATCATACTCTGGGAGTGCGCAGCAGGAAGGTGGGCGCTCGCCGAGTCCCTGACTACACGACACCTCCCCTATTGCCGACGGTTGAGTGCCCACTGATCACATCCCGCTCGACTCCTCTCCCTCCCAGCATGGCAAGTTTCCAAACTCAAGGACGAGAATGGTTGAGCAAGGGCGAGAAGAAGCTGAAGTCGCTGGGATGGTTTGGCAACAAGTACGAGGAGGCAGCCGAGTGCTTTGAGAAGGCAGCCAATCAGTTCAAGCTCGCCAAGTCATGTGCGCGTCTCAGGCTGCATGCAAGAGACTGGATTTTCTGGTGCATGGCAAGGGCCTGCCTGTCGTGGCAGCTCTGGAGCGATTCCATGTGTGGGATGCAGCAGCAGTCAAGGCCTGAGACCAGAATCATTCTGCCTTGCCAGGGGCCGAAGCTGGCGACACTCTCTCCAAGTTGGCCGAGATACACATCAAGCTGGAGAGTCCACATGATGCTGCCAGTGCCTGGGTGGACGCCAGCAAATCCTACCTCAAGATCGACCACAAGAGTGAGTTAACGGCTTCTTAGGCTCTAGGTGGAAAGGGAGGGGCCGATGGTGAAGTCCATGGCGACAAGCCTTGGATTTCTTCCCCTTGATTGAGAACCTAGTGTCCTGCTTTGTGGACTCGCGGAATCACATGCGCTGCACAGAGGGCTTGGATGCGCTTTCTGCACTGTCCCAGTGGATCATTCTGTCTGCTCGCATGAAGACGCCTCCCCCACTGGCTGCATGCGCAAGTCCCAGGTCACCAACTCCTGACCACAACGCCCCTGATGCCCCAAAATCCTTCCACAGGGGGAGTGCAGGCCCTCCAAAACGCCGTCAGCATCTACACAGACATGGGCCGCCTGGGGATGGCAGCGCGCCAGCTCAGGGTGCGAGGTGCCTGGGTCAAGGACTCGGAGGGCATGGGGATTGCGGCCGCACGGCGTGGACCCATGGCCTTGAAAACTACTTCCTTGTGGACGCTCACCCTTCCCAAATCCTCTCCTGTGCCCCAGGAGATCGGCGAGGTGCTGGAGCGTGAGGGCGAGAAAGAGCAGGCGATGACCTTCCTGGAGCAGGCGGCAGACCTGTTTGCCACCGAGAACTCCAATGCGGAGGCCAACAAGTGCAATTTGAAGGTGTGCTTGTGGAGAGAGATGGCCTTCTGGTACTTGAGAATGATTTGGATGGCACTGATGTCGGATGAGGGTTCCGACAACTCACCAGACCGCCTCAACAGATCATCTGCACAGCATGCCGCCTGCCCAAGACACCTACTAACTCCCTCCCTCCATGCAGATCGCGCAAACCTCCGCCGAGCTGGAGCAATACCCCCGTGCCATCGCCCTGTATGAGGGCATTGCGCGGACCTCTGTGGAGAACAACCTGCTCAAGTACAGGTGCGGCTACGGAGCTACATGACAGATTTCTGGTTGCCTGTGGGTGATTTGTGGTGTGAGGAGCGCGAGATGCAAGGGGGTGCCTGTTTATGAGCACAACAGCCCTCTTCCGCGTGCAATGCTTGGCCAGATGAGTCGGCATCGGAGCCGCTGCCAGGAGACCCTCGGGATGCGCCAATGGCATCTCCCATGCAAGTCCCTCCTCCCACCCCAATCACCCCTCTGCAGCGCCAAGGGCTACCTCCTGTGCGCCGGCATCTGCCAGCTGGCCTCAAACAGCCTGCCGGGGGTGCGGGATGCCATCCAGCGCTACAACGACATTGACATCACATTCGAAAACAGCCGGGAGGAGGGCCTGCTCACCGCGCTGGCCGATGCGCTGGAGGCTCGGGACGCCGACGCCTTCACCGCCGCGGTCCAGGAGTTTGACTCCATGACGCGCCTGGACGCTTGGAAGACCGCGATCCTGGTGAGGGGAACTGGTGTGTGAGAGCACGAGTCTGAAGTGAAAGGAGGGGCCAGCAGAGGGGGCTGATGCCTGTTCTAGGCGTTGATTTCGTCCCGATGGTAGTATACTTTTGCACAGATCCCCCCTTCACTGGCCCCCAAATCCGTCCTCGATCCATTTTCCAGGTCCGAGTGAAGCGCATGATCACCGCGCCGTATGCAGATATGCAGGAGGACGACCTCACGTGAAACCTCCGCTCAGCCTGGACCGCTGTGAGGGTGAACTCCTGGGCCAGCTGATCCCTCCACCGCCAGACGGCAGTTTGGGATTGCAGGCTTCCAGTGCTGCCCTTTGCATGTAACTGCCCGCCAGAGTGCACCCTGTCACCTGGGCGGTTGTGCTGCCTGGCATGCGAATGCTCAGCATTTGTACAGACATTCCGGCCCTTAAGATGTGCGCCCCTTTCTCATGGAAACGCGGGCTTGCATGCCAGGAAAACTTGAAGCAGGAGGTCCTCCTGGCCATAACATGGCGGTGCCCTTGCAGTGCTCCACGGCTGGCTTGGCGCCCTCCAGCCATCTCAAAGCTTGCTGCTGCCTGCAATGCCGACCGCCCTGCTCTTGCCCTCCACGCCGCGCGAGACCTTGGCCACCATCGAACGAGGCACGATGGGCTCCCTGCGAGGTGGCGGAAGTGGTTGGGTGCACAAGAGATCATTACAAGGCCAGCCGTCAGTTGAAAAGGGCGGGAGGTGTGCCCTGGGGCGCGCCGGAAGCCACAGCCGACCTGGCGATCGGCTGACAGCATGCTGCATCCTTCAAGGGTAATCGCAGCTCACACCGGTGCCAGCGGCCAGCCCAGCATCACCCGCGCACAGCTCTCCCTTTGGCTGCTGGGGCCCTGTACTCCCCCTCTGCTTCTTATGCACTTGCACACCTGTACATCCACTCGCCGCCATCCACGACCATGGTGTGCCCCGTGATGAAGCCGGCGGCCGAGGAGCAGAGGTAAATGCAGGCCAGGGCGATGTCGGCGCGCTCGCCCATGTGCCCCACGGGCACGCGGCGCGCCACCTCAGCGCTCAGCGCCGAGGCCTTGCCCGGGGCCAGCTTCTCCATGCCTGCCGTGCCGGCGATGGGGCCAGGCGCCACGCCATTGACCCTGATGCCAAAGGACCCCCACTCCAGCGCCATGCTCCGGGTCAGGCTGTCGATCGCCGCCTTGGCGGCGGAGGCGTGGGCCTGGTACCAGGTCGCGCCGTAGTGCAGCGTGGCGCTGATGTTCACGATGGAGCCCGCGCCCGAGGACTGCAGCGCGGGGAAGGCGGCCCTGTGGGTTGGGTGGAGTGTGGGTGGGCGAAACTCGAAAGGAGTTGACAGGTTTCAAGTGTGTTGGAAGACAATGACTGCCCACCATCTGCCATTGTGAAGGCCTGCAGAAAACGTTGCGCATGCGCTCGCAGGCGGTGCCCCCATTGTCGCCGCAGACATGTGACACCACCGCCCACCCTCAACCTGTCAGCAGCCCTCCATCGTACTTGCACATGTTGAAGGTGCCCAGGGTATCGATCTCCAGCACGGTCCGGAAGCCGTTGCTCGACAGCTGCTCTGGGGCTGCCAAGAAGTTGCCGGCCGCGCAGTTGACCAGGACGTCCAGACGCCCAAACTTGGCAACAGCGCCTGCCACCATGGCCTCGCAGGCCTCGTACTTCCGTACGTCTCCCTGCATGCAGGGGATCGGGGAAGAGAGGGAAGGTGGAGGTTGCACCAGAGCCTCATTTGGGGTGCTACCTGATATGGATCAGGGTATAGACACACTGCCTGAGCCGGAGGGGGACTGAAAAGTCTGCCTCCACTCGTCCCTGCTACTACTGGTCCATCACAGCCCATGCCGCCACACCGCGCTTGCCTGAACAAAGTGGGTTTCGACACCTTGTGCTGACATATCAGCACAAGCCTGGGTCAACACCTCCACGCGTCTGCCGGAGATCACGACGCTCGCACCATGCAAGCCTGCATGCAGTGGGTTCCGGGGGGGTGGTGTCGGAGAGCGAGCACGCACCCCCCCCCGTCCAAACGCGATACTCCTGGTGAGGGGCACTTACCTAGCTGTCTGGTGATCTCAAAGCCGATGCCAGAACCACCGCCTGTGATCAGGGCCACCTTGCCCTTCAGGATGTCTGTGCGGAAGGGAGACACCGGGGGCGCCATGTTGCCGAGCACGGAGCCTAGTCTGTGGACGCCTGTGTGCAACAGTCACTGTGACATTTATATATCGATATTCCAATTACTTATTCAGCGGCTGGTCTCGAGAGCAGCCGCCTCACGTGGTGCCAGAACCTCAAATTGGTAACAGCGGCTGACCGGGCCATTCCGTTGTTGGGAAGATTACAAGAGATTTACTTGAGCACAGGAGCGGTGCACCGCATGCCGTCCTCATGTCGGACACTCCGGTGCAAGCTCCTCTACATGGGCCAGGAACTTCCACAACAAAATTCGACTGGATCTTCTCAAGATTCCACCGCACCCTGCCTCATCCGGCAAAGGAGGTGGCGAACTTGGCCAGCGACCCCAGGGCTCCCTCGCCTGTGGTCCAGGCCTGCACGCTGAAACCCAGGAACGCAATCTGCGCGCCAGAGGAAAGGGGAACAGGGTGTCTATTATAGATGGTGCCGGCAACTCGGAACACAAGCCTGGGGATGTGGTCCTGCACGCCCCTTGCACAGAGCACCAGGGTTTAGGGCGCAAGGGACGCCCCTTTCAGCCTCACTCACTGCCCTTCCCATGCAGGCTGCCAGGTTTTGGGCCAGCTGGCCAAGGTCTGGGCTCTGCCTTCAGTCGGGGGGTTGATCACCCGGAACTGCAGCCCGAACTTCGTCCTTCCCCGGGGCGAGCCTGGCGCAGTCCCTGCCGATGCATTTCCCAGCTCCTCCCCATACATCCAACCCCCCCCCCCGCACCACAACCCACCATGGCCAGGCGCCCGTGTTTGAGCTCGGCCTCCTTGAGCTTGAAGGCGCGGTTGTCGTCGCCCGAGGCGAGGCGCAGGGGGTCGAACCAGCCGCCGGGGTAGGCCCGCTTCTCCGTGTCCAGCTCGGTGTTGCGGTACACCTCGGCGCCGCCCACCAGCAGCGCCTCGATCCAGACCAGCTGGGTGAGGGTGAAGGGCAGGGGGAAGCCGAGGTACTGTGCGCCGTCCAGCTCCACCTTGCCCGCGTCCTGCCAGGCCACGCCCGTGGAAGCCTCGGCCACGATCACGCCCAGCGTGGCCAGCATGGCCCAGCGCCCGTGGATGACCTCGTTCTCGCGGAAGCGGGCGAGGCCGAAGACCTCGCTGTAAGGCGCCAGCGCGTCGGGGGACACCTCATCGGCGTTGGAGGCGAAGGACCCCACCACGCCGCCCGCCTTGTTCACCGCCGAGTTCTGGTCCAGCGCGTCCAGGTCCATCTGGATGTAGGAGGTGGGCTTGGACAGGCCCAGGGGGTCGAAGCCGCGGTCACCGGGGAGGGAGCCGTCCAGCCACTCGGGGCGGGGGGTGTTGGGCAGCCACAGCGTCTCGCCTAGAGCGGAGGGAGGTGTAGGTAGGGGGGTGAGGGGATCATGAGGGGTGAGGAGGGCGTCAGTGAGCACTGGCCCGCCAGCCACACATCGATACCATCTGAACGACCATGCCGGCCGAGAATTGACCATTCAAAAACGCGCGCAAAACTGCGCTGTGCGCGCATGCACGTCACTTCCAAAACCACACCCGCCCCGCTTTCCTCCAGGCCCATGCGCGCCGAGCCTACCCTGCTTGCGGGTGCTGCCACGGCCCAGGTTGTACGAGGACCTGCCTCCCTTCCGGTCCAGATCACGGTTGGTCTGGGGCACAGACGCCCGGGCAAACTTGGTGACCTCGGGCAGAGGGCTCTTCTTCGGGGGCGCCACGGGGGCCTTGGGCTTGGACAGCTTGGTGGGGAAATCCACCTTGGGGGTGCGGGGGGGCGGCAACTTCACGTTGCCCTTGCGCACCTCCTGCGCGTGGAGCAGCGTATGGATCGGTAATGATGTGCCCTGCTGCGCCGAGTTCCATGCTTGGGAAGATCGATGCAGAGCAGGTCTCGACGGGCGCACCCCCCACCGGCCACCCTACCTTGGCAGGAGACTTGCTCTTGAGGCCATCGAAAAGTCCAGCCGTTACCTTCATCGCGACAGAGACGACCTACAGTGCCTAAGGATGCTGGTCGGGGGAAAGGCGATGTGCCCTGGTCGCAGACAGGCTTGATACGCAGGCCCATGCGGACGAGATTGGGTCGGATGGAAAATGGATCGGGCATGCGGTACCATCCCGGCGTACCCCCTGTCGAGCTGCATGAACTCCGATGTCCCCGAAACGACAGGCACCACATAACAAAACAAAAGCGCTTCATGCATGTGTGCAGAAACGTTTTTCAATCTTTTACATTCCCTGTGTCTTTGATCAATGGTGTGAATGCGTGGGAGCGTACCGGGCTTTACAGAGCATGCCTCAACCTTTGCTTACACGCAACACGGTGCGACCTAGCTTTTATCATGATAACACCTTAACTAAATTTATCAGATAAGCCGCTGAGGTGATCGTGAAGAAATGTGTCTGGAGAGTGGGCCCCCATACCTGGAAGCGAGCATACCGTCACAAGTATCACAACCCTTAGAACCTACTGATGGCCACATAGCGAAGCTCGTTGCGTATTCATGCAAAGAGATCATATAAGCAACTACCGACTGTCGCTGCATGCATGGCAGTCTGTTCGTTCTTGGCCGCGACATGATGTCAGGTTGCCAGGTCACGATCACCTCCGGCGGGCGCGCTGTTCATCCCAGACAAGGGCGCATGCAGGGCATTGCATGGATCTCGCGGAACACCGAGCGCTCTGATCTAATAGGCGCTTAAATAGTACTTGTTCCTCAAATTTATTGGAACGAGCACCGAGCTGCCCTGCTGCTCGGGGAATGGGAGTCCCGTCGCGCAGTCCTGAAGAGCTGGTGGCGCAGGGCGACGCCCCTGTGAAGCCAGAGTTCATCCGACCTGGATGCGATAGAGTGCACATCGTCCAGGTGCAGGGCAGCCAGGGAGCAGGGGTAGTGGACGGCCAGCAGAGTCTCAGCCGGCGTCAAGAGAAGAAGGTAGGCAGCCTTGAGGGTGTGGGAGTGTAAGAGGCACAGGCATACGCAGCGGGGTGCAATACGCCAGTGAACAAGATGATGCAACACATTGCATCGAGTGGAATGCTGCCCCACCTCAGGCTCGCGCCAAGGCTCGCCATTCGACGGCAGCCCTGTGCACCCGCTTTGCCCAAGGAACCTGCAGTTTCAAGGACAATTGCCGGTGGGTGGCTGGGAGGGCTCACAAGACTGGCATGAAGCGTTGAGGCGGTGATCCTGCTATGGAGTGTGCACCTGTTGCTCAGTGGCAGGCAGGGCTTCTCATGTGGCAAGGCAACTGACCAGGTCCTTCCACTGTGCACCCATTCTGCATTCCAGGTTCAACCACGATGTGCGGGCCTTCCTGAATTCCAAGCCACCAGAACTCCCTGGGCAATGCCCTTTTCACGCACAAGGCAGCTGTCCCTTTGGTGAGTCGATGGGCTTTGCTGTGGTGATTAAGTTTCTGAAAATTATGATACATCAGAATGCAGCACATGGGGGCCTTTCACACCACTCCTGGGCTGCTGCCCATTCCTGCCTGTGGTGCACACTCCTTTTCAGTGTCCGTATCCTTTGTCCATTCTCCTCCCCACAACCAGGCATCACCTGCCAGTGGGCCAGCAAGCATTCGCACCCCGACCCCTTGACGTCAGAGTACCTCCAACAGACGCCCGTGGCGGCAGCTGTCACCGGTCTGCCAGTGGCCCCGCCCTTGAAGACTGAGGACAAAAATGGTGTGGTGACAGCAGAGGCGCTCGCTGCTGCCTTGGACGGGGCCAGTGCGGCGGTGATCCCGCTCCTCACGCCCGTAGATCCGACAGCAAGCCAGGTGGAGGCTGCACGGGCGTCCGCTGCTGCCACAGGGTTTCCCGAGCCCTCCACACCTGCCGAGCAAGACGATGTCGATGGAGCTGCCCAGGCCTTCTGGCGGGGTGATGGGACGATTCCCATGCGCCCTGTGGCGCTGCTGCCAGGTCCAAGCATTCAGAGTAGCATCAACACAATGGACAAGGCCGTACAAAACCAGTTGTGGTAGGTGGGGTTCTTGTAGTGTATAACACAGACATTCTGCTTGGTGTGCTGTGGGCATTGGAGCAGAGGAGGGGCAGAAAGCTGCAATCTTCACTGAGCCTGAGCCGTCCTGCCGTGGCAAAGAAGGACTGATGTTGCTGGCACAGGCTGCCGTGGGCACTCCCAGCATGAATCTCCTGTCAATCTAGTTCCAGGAAGAGTCCCAAAACCTGCTTACAGGCTCCATCAGAACCTTCCCCAACCCCCACGCCCTCCCGTCAGGCATCGCCGCTACGACTTCAGTACAGCTGACCGTGTGCTGTCGACCTTGGGGTTGCGGAACAGTCGGGCGGGGCAGGGGCAGGGGAAGCAGGAGGAGGAGGAACAGGAGGGCAAGCGGCCACGTACCCAAGGTCCCGACGCTGGAGCGCTGCCGGGGGAGGCCGTGCTGGCAAAGGCCGAGCCTGAGGCCGAGCCTGCAGCGGCGCAGGTGCTTCCCACTGCCAAAGTGGAGGCCGAGGCACAGCTGTGCACAGTACCCGCTGAGACTGCGCCAGGGCCTGGGGCGGAGCTGGGTATCCCTGTGACGGAGCCCGAAACGGCCGCTCCTGCGGCCGCGCCGCCTCCGCAGCACCCTTACCTGGAAACTGCCGAGCACAAGCGCGAAAGCTCGGCACAGGCAATCGACTTCCGTGGCAAGCTGTACCTGGCACCTCTGACCACTGTGGGCAACCTGCCCTTCCGCCGCCTGGCCAAACGGTTGGGGGCCGACATCACCTGTGGTGAGATGGCGCTGGCCACGAACCTACTCCAGGTGAGGTGAAGTTGGTGGATGATCCAGGCCAGATAACCTCGCACTGCATGTTCAAAGCAGAGTGAGAGCGTACATGGGCGGGGCTGCTCGCAGGATGGTTGAGGTTACTGGGGGCGAGACTCGCCCCGTTTACACTTATCCAGGGGCAAGCATCTGAGTGGGCGCTGCTGAGGCGCCATCCGGAAGAGGACTGCTTCGGGGTCCAGGTGTGCTGCTGTGCATGCGGTACATGAACGATTTTCAACACAGTGCACTCCTGGCGATTGCCAGATCCTGCATCCCTGCACAGATGAAGCAGGATGAGCCTGCACCTGTAAATACCAACCCATCCTCCCTTACCAACTCAGATCTGTGGAGGCTACCCCGACAGCATGGCCCGCTGTGCCCAGCTCATCCAAGACCAGTGCTCTGTCGATTTTGTGGACATCAACTTTGGGTGTCCCATCGATGCGATCTGCAGGTGAGGCTGCAGGAGGTGGGGTGGCAGGCGCTTTGCAGAGTTTCGGGGTCGAATTATTGAGAGGGGCACCATCTCGAAGGAGCATCTATGCCTCAACGAATCGAGCCGCCTGCGGCACGCCCGATTCAGCGCCATGCAGCCTGACCCTGCACTCACATCAGCATGAGTTCCCTTCCGCAGCAAGGGGGCAGGGTCGGCCTGCATCCTGCGCCCAGCACGCATGGAGTCGATTGTGCGGAGCATGAGCAGCGTGCTGCAGTGCCCCCTCACCTTCAAGACACGCAAGGTGGGCTGGTGGTAGGGCTGGAAGGGAAATATGGGGAAGGTGATGTAGCCCATTTCAACCGTATGCTATGCCTGCCACTAGCCGGCGTGTTACCGGGTAGAATTTCCTCCCCTTCAGGCATCCTGTGCAAGACCCCTCTCCTGCATGCTGCTCACAGGCGTACAATGATGGGCATGATGTAGCCCACACCTTTGTCCCCGGTGCGGCGGTCTGGGGGGCCAGCGCCGTGACCCTGCATGGCCGGACGAGGGAGCAGCGCTACTCGAGGCCAGCCGACTGGCCATACATCCAGAACTGTGCCGCTGCGACCCAGGCGCCCCTCCAACTCGTCGGGAACGGGGATATCTTGGGCTGGCAGGACCACTACAGGTGCGGGTTGAGAGCGCCACTGCGCTCGTGCGCTTGTCCATGTTGCTGCCTCCTGAACAGATTTGTGGGTGTGTGGGTGCATTGATCTGCTCGCAAAGAGTGCTTCAGTCTGTGTGACGATATCTTCAGGAAGCACGATGGGACCCCTCTCCACCACAGCAGCCCTTCACCAATCTGCCCCCCCTTGACTCCCACCCCATGAATTAGGCATCTGGAAGAGTCGGGTGGGAGGCTGGCGACCACATACATTGCGCGTGGGGCCCTGATCAAGCCCTGGATTTTCACTGAGATCAAGCAGCGGAGGGACTGGGACATCTCAGCAGGTGCTTGGGGCTGGGGCGCAGGCAGATCGGTGGAGCCTCACAAGTCTGATGGTTTCCTTTGGGATCAGCTTGTCCAAGGGCGCTCCGGCTTCCCTTTGGACTTGGCCGGTTTATGTTGCACATTTTGTCTGAAATATGTCTCTCGGCTGTCTCATCAAGCAAACCCTCCTCCCCAACAGGGGAGAGACTGGACCTGCTGAAGCTGTACTGCTCGTTTGGGCTAGAGCACTGGGGCAGCGACGCCCGGGGCGTAGAAAGCACCAGGTGCGCATGTGGGAGCCGGTGCCAGCACTCTCCCACCTCACCCTCTGAGGGGTATTGCATGTATAATGCCACCCTATGCCCCACACCCTTCCTCTCCCTCCCATTGCCATGCATGCAGACGCTTCCTGCTGGAGTGGCTGTCGTTCCAGCACCGCTACATCCCGGTCGGCCTGCTGGATGTTCTGCCCCAGCGCATGGACTGGAGGGTGCCGGTCTTCGTGGGCAGGTCCGACCTGGAGACGCTGCTGGCCTCCGACCACGCCGGCGACTGGGTGCGCATCTCCGAGATGCTGCTGGGCCCTGCACCCCCGGTGAGTAAATGGCACATATGTGTGTGCGTTTGGTCAGCGGTGGAACGGAGGGAGGGAATAAAAGGGAGCGAGTCAGCAAATTGATGTATTCAGGGATTGCATGCGTGTCTCTCAGGAACGGAGTGCAGCAAGACATGTGGACTGGGTGGTGTGAGACAATTCCGACCCCAATGATGAGCCAGCAACCATGTCCTCAGTCCCGCATTCACTCTGGTGCAGGGTTTCACGTTCACGCCAAAGCACAAGGCAAATGCGTACTCCAGACGGCAGGAGGCTGGCGCTTCCAGTCTCATGAAGGACGAGGAGCAGGAGAATGGCTGAGGAAGCAGGGAGGGGCTGTGGGTGGAGCGGCTTGCCCTGGCCTTGCCGTGGACAGGGATGCTTGCCAGGTTTCCATGTCAAGTACTCACAACGGCCAGCATCTACCTACCCGTAATGATGAAATTATATCTTACATCTTCATCTCGTCTGTAAGAGTGTGGAGGTTCATACTTGAGGCAAATGTGTTCCCCTGCCTGCAGGCTAGATCAATGCCCCCCGGTCCGTGACAAGCGCCAGGGCGCGTCAAGCAGGTTGCTCCGGGAGGGTCGACCGATCGACACAAGGACCACGGGTCGGCACTGCCCCGCAGACCTTTTCCTGCGAACCTCCTCGACTAGAGACATTGTTTCTGTGCCATGTGACATTTGTGCGAGGGCGAGCTCCGCTGGGCTCAAGGGCAGGATGATGCTCTTCTTCTACGCCGTGGCCCTGCCCCTCGTGGTTTGCACCGTCGTGTACGGCCTGGTATGGCTGCCCAGCCCCTCCACAGGCCTCCTCGTGCGCCTGGATGTGGGGCTGGCCTGGGGTGCGGCCCTGGCCACGCTCATCCTGGTGCCCACCGACGTTGCAACCACGCTGCTGGGAGGCTCCCCGCCCCAGCTCGCCACATGGTGGAGGGCGACCTACTGGTGCGTGGGCGCATTACAAGCGTGATTGGAAGAGTGCACCCCGCGTGGACCCGGGCGGTCATCAGAGAGGCGCCTTGGGGAAGTGGGTCGCCCCACTTCCCTGGGCAACTTATTTTAATGGATTCTGGCGCTGCCTGCCATTGTCTCTTCCTCAAATGCTCTCCACCATACACACGCGAGCACATACTCTCACGCTCAGCATCCTGTCCTCCTCGTTCCTCCTCACCCCCGGCAGGTACGGCTTCTTCGTCATGGTGCTGGTGCTGCCCATCCACATGGAGCACACGCGGCGCGGAGAGTTCTCCGCGCTGGACCGCGCGCTGGGCGCGGTGCGGTACCACCTGGTGTACTACTGCGCCCTGGTGGGTGTGGCCGCGGCCGGCATCCTCCTGCTCCTGCTGGCGGGGCGGCTGGAGGCGCGCAACATCCTGGGCTTCTGCATCGCCTCCAGCAACGCCTACGGCCTGATCGGCGCCATCTTCCTCATGGGCTATGGCCTGGTGGCCATCCCGCGCCAGCTCTGGCGCTGCGCCGACCTGGCCGACCAGCTGCAGCGCTGCTGCCACGAGCTGGGCGCGCTGGCCGAGCGCTGCGCCGCCGCCAACCTGCGCCTCTCCACCACCGTGCTCACCGCGCGGCGGGCTAGCGTGCTCTTCGGCGCCCACGACCCCCTCAGGCCCTGCGTCGACACGGTGCTCGCCCTGGCGGAGAGCACGGGTGGGGTTGGAGGGAGGGCATGTGTGGGTGTGTGTGGGGGTTGAAGGCGGCGTGGAGATGTGAGGGAAAGCGGGCGCCAGAGCGAGGCCCATCGCTGGCACCGATATGTCGCGTCCCGCCCTGGTCAGACCCTCGTGCACCTTCTGTATGAATGATGCTTGCTCTGCCTCCACTGCTGCCCCTAGGGCGGGGACGTGTCGAACCTCAGGTGCCTCATTCCGATCCCGATTCGACCCGGACCCCCTCGCCCTCCCCGAAACACTCAGGCCCGGGCTTCCGGCCCAACCCTGCCGCGGTCGCCGCGCTGGACGACTCGCCCGAGCTGGACATCTTCGACCTGGCGGACCTGGCGGCGCTGCGGCGCCGGCTGAAGACCGACCTGAAGGACCACGAGCGCGAGGCCGCGCTCTTCCGCGCCGCCGCGGAGCGCGGCCTGCGCCTGGAGGCCTCCCTGGCGGCCCGCGCCGACGCCGCCTCGCACGGCCCCTCCTTCGCCACCGAGCCGGGCCTGCGCGGCTGGCTGCAGGACGCCGCCGTCCACTTCTGGGCCTACAGGTGTGGGGGAGTGTGTCTGTGTTGGGTGAGGCTCTTCAGCACACACACAGACGTGTGCGGAGGAGTGGTGAAGCAGGGCTCCTCCCATAGAGTCGGCCACCCCCCTCGCCGCCCACTCCGCCCGGCTCGCCCCTCCCCACCCCCCCGATGAAACACAACAACCAACAGGATCCTGGCGGTGCTGGCCGGCGCTGCCTCGCTGGTGGTCATCCTGGCGGAGACCACCATCCCCGCCTCCCTGCCCAACCTGTCGGCGGTGTCCTGGGCGCTGGGCGCGGCGGGGGGCGCGCGCTTCCCCACCGCCGCCACCTGCATGCTGGCCCTGGCCTACCCCTGCGCCTGCGCCAACTACTCCCTCTACCGCCTGGGCCAGGTGGCCTTCTACCGCATGGTCCCCGGCCACACCGACTCCTACTCCCTCTGCTACTCCGCGCTGCTCGTCTCGCGCTTCGCCTCGCCCCTGGCCTTCAACTTCATGGCCGCGGTGGCGCTGCCCCAGGGACGGGCCGCTGGGCCGGATGTCACCGACACCGTCTTCTATGCCGAGTTCGGGCGGCTGATGATGCAGCAGCCCCTCATCGGCTGGCGTTTCACCGCCTTTGCCCCCGCCGCCCTGGCGCCCTACTGCCTGGTCCTGGCCCTGGGTCTCTTTAAACCCCTGGCCAGGCTGCTGCAGCGCGGCGGCAGCCTGCAGGTGGGATGCTGGGGGTGGCAGCTGGGTGACCGAGGGATCGGCAGGCCGGGCGCCTTGCCATTCTGATGGGTGTCTTCCCGGGGGCCCTGTCTCCTACATCACCCCTTCCACCTCGCGCCCTCAAGTTTGGGAGGCAATGCGCTTTTCGTACTCCACCCCACCCTCCCCGCAGTTTGAGGACGACTGGGAGGACGGCAGCGGCGTCGCCGCCCGCGGCCGTCGCCTGCTCCGAGTCGAGGGCCAGAACCGGCAGAACGGGCTGCCGCTGGGCCTCACCATCGACCCCGCCATCAACGGCAGCGGGGCCGCCAGCCGCCCTGGCCCGCCTGCACCGGCAGAGCGGGCGCCCTGGTGGCGGCGGCTGGCGGGGGGGCGGGAGCACGACGACCACGGCTTCCCCTCGCCCCCTCCTCCAAACCTGGGCGCCGTCAGCTCGGGGGAGGCTGCGAGGAGCGGCGCGGGCAAGGACGCACGCGCGCGGCTCTGGGCGCTCGTGGCCGGCCGGGCGTCCCCCGCCCCCGAGGCCCAGTCCCTGCTGCGGGGGGGCGCAGGGGCGGGCTCCTCTTCGTCCCTGGACCTGGAGGGGTCACCGCAGGTGGGCCAGGCCATGCCGCGCACGCCCGCCCAGCGCGACATCTTCTCGCACCTGGAGGTGCCGGGCGGCAAGGGCGCCTGGAAGAGCAAGTACGGCAGGAGTCCCAGCGGATGAGCCCAGCACCACAGCGGGCCGCCCTGATGGCTGGCATGCAGTGTGTGCACTCGGGTGGGCCTGCAGCAAGGGCTGGGGCCCAGACTTTGATTCAAGCTCTCGCCATGTAGGCAACCTAGTCATCATGCGGCGACCCATTGGCCCCTTGCACGGCAAACGTACTGACAGTCTGGTTCATAACCCTGGCCTGATCCATACCACCACCCTTTTGCTGCCTCGCAGCACCACTTCTTTGTTCCAGATTTACACTTGATTAATTGAACATGAGGAGCTCGGCTCCCCTTAAACAGCACCACGTGACAAACGATGCGGCAGCAGACTGAAAATTGGGCCGGTTAAGAAGTGTGCAGGTTGGTTGACATCATTGAAAATCGAAAAGGCAGCCCACCGTCGGGGGGGCCGCTCACTCATAAAAATGTTGGGGTATGACCCAGAATGTCATGTGTGGATTGAAGACGCCTCAAAACTTGATCAGCATGGTTGAAAATTGCTGGACACAGGAGGAACATTGGGAAACAGGCAGCAAAGAGCTGCAAAATACATTGACGGAAGGCTTCGAGCCCGTTATGAAAGGCGGGTCTACCGAAAGCGCATGGAGTAGGCTCGGATGGGGGCTACGACCTCTTCCTCTCCGCTGGTGCCTGGACAGGTATGGGTCAGGTCCAAATCCGCGTCAGCTCCCATGGGAGAATCGCATTGGCCAGTGCACACTGCGTGCTCCCGAGCTACCCGAGAGCATGCTGTTACCTCGCATGCCCCATGTTCCCGAGCAAAGCCCGCAGGCGTGTCACGGCCCCTTGTTTCGGAAGACTGCGCGTTCTCGCACCTGTGACAGCCTCGCGCAGGCCTGCCGCCGCAGTTCGGCCCGTTTTTACTGTGTAGAAGAACCCAACCCCGACACTGACTGGAAAGAGCACGGCCGCGATGGTGGAGTGCTTGCGGAGGAGCACATTCGCCAAACTCATGGCGGAGTGGTGCGACGTTTCCGTGACTGGACGAAAATTCAGGAACGGGCACTTCTAGGACCACGCGACGAACAAGAAAGACAACACGACGCTGATAGTGAGGCTTACGGGGTACCAGTGAGCAGGAGCGGTGATGAGACACCGACTCCAATGCCTCAACGGGAGTTCCCCATCGCTCACGATCTGCGCTCTTTTGTCCCCGGAACTCTGCTGCCTTGCCCAAATATCTCAAAAAGAAACCTCCAGATCACACGTCGAAATGTCGCGATGACTGGTGCTGTGCATGCGTGTCACGAAAGAATGCAGTGCATGGTCACCTGTATGCCTCGCCAAAGGCCACCTCTTGGGGAATGTGAGAGAGTTCTGCGCCCTTGTTCTGCTTCAGCTGTCCTGCACCCCTTCAATGAGGACCTTCAGCTTCAGGGCCGTCATGGTGTGCATGGACCCGTCGACGCTCGTCTTCTCCACCTCCTCAAAGATCGGGATCGCCCGCACATCGATCTTGTCGTCCTGCGGAACAGGATCGCCGAGAAGGGGGGTGGGGCAGCCGCCACATGTAGGTGCGTGGTGACTCAGCGGCATCATTAGCATACCCAGCGCCCAGAAGGATTGCGATCGAGCATCCACACGGTCCGCACATGGCCTCGACCAGCAATGCAACATCCCAGGGTGCACAGGGGTGAGGCGCACACCCACCTCGAGGTATATCCGGGCGTGGCAGGTCGCCACGCATGCGTTGCACACTGCGTCCGGTCCAATGCTGGTGACCACCACCCCCGTCCCATCGCGAGCCTGAGCTTGCAACAGATGGGATAAGGGTGGGCAATCTTGGTGCAGTATGGCTTGTGAGCACCCATTCCTGAGCAAGGTCGGCGCCGCTTCTTGGCAGGGAGCCGCCCGCATCCCCATGACAGCTCTGGGGCAGCAAGGCGGACGAGTCATTGACGCATCCAGTCCTCAGTCCCCATTCTTCAGCTTCCAATCCACATTCACGCTCACCCTGCCCGCGATGGCTCCGGCGACTGTCTGTGGCTTGCTGTTCTTGCCGACGGTGAGCTCCCCAAACTGCTCGCATGCAAGGTGGTGGGGTGGCAGGTGGTGGGTGGGAACTGGGCCAGGCGTTGGCGTGGGCGGTGGGGGGGCGTGGATGGTGGGAGGGTGAGCGGCGCTGGTTGGGAGAGGCATGCACAGGGTGGAGGAAGGTGCGTGTATGGCAGCTGGTGGTTGGCATGTCACACCGGAAGGCTCACTTCGGAGTTCAGGGTGGCGGAGAGCTCAGCGGCGGGGACGGAGGAGAGGTAGAGGGCAAGGGACGCTCCCATCTTCCTGCATGCGGAGTCGGGTCAAAGGACACTTTGAGGATGGGGACCGGGCAGGGTAGAGGTCATGTAGGGTGGCCACCCCAGGCACCATCATCCATTGTCGCCATACACGCCGCACCTGTCCCGGAAGGCAGGCTGGCACATGAGCTCCAGCTCGTCCTTCTCAAGGTACTTCCGAGCGATGGCGACAGCCTGTGGGTTTGGCGCAAAGGTGCGTTGATACTCAGGTGCAATGGGGGGTGGCTCACCCAGACGAGCGTCCTCCCAGCGTTCAACCCAGCGTCCGGACAACACACGCGCGCACCTTGATGGCGATGTTGATGGCTGGGGCTCCAGTGGCAATGAGGGGCATGTGGCGGTCACCACGGGCGTTCCAGGCTATCTTGGAAGCATAATGCTTTGGCTCCTCGCGGGAGGAGATCTGCACACGGAGACGAAGGCCGGGCAGCTCGGTGACCCACTCCGCAGCATGAAGGGCTCAAAATATCGTTCAACATAGGATCAAGAGTCCTAGACCGCACCTTGATGAAGTTTTGGAGGTCCTGCTCATCCTCCGACCTCTGGCCACCACCAGCACGGTCGTTCCGCGGATTGTGGCCGATGGGATCGTACCGCCCAACCTTGCGGTCGGGAGAAGGGGTATTGCTTGAAATCATGGCGTGCAGCCTGCCAAATATCGTAGATGAGTGCAGGGGAGGCCCCGCGTTTGCTGGCGTTGGGTTGCTGGTGGTGAGGGTGCCCAGGGTCAGAACAAGCTTGTCGCTCCCGTCAACTCGCGCAAATGGGGTAACAATCGAGTATCAAGAAGGCTTCACTGTCTTTCGACGTGCTTTGGTGGTATCTACGGACTGTGACCGATTCCTGCCCCTCGCGCACCGGAAGTGGAGATGATTTCCTCCGGATCCTTGGTCGGTGCGATTGTGAAGGATCATCACTTCTCCTTGAGAACCTCATTGCTTTCATAGAAACTCTCAAATGAACTTCATACACCCGACTCGTCCTTTTTTATACATGAAGAAATGCACCGAGCGTATGTGTCCTCCATTCTTTCAACTCTTGCAGTAACCAGTGTTACATGGTATGTGAGTGACCCTTCCGTTGAGGGGATGGGGATGTATGAAGCGACGTGCGTACACTTCAGGTCTCAGATAAACCTGTTTAGGTAAAGGTGCCTCAAGGTCCTTCTTATCAGCCGTTCTCAGCCCTTCCACTTGACCCTCAGGTTGACCTGGCGCCTTGCACCACAGGGACCTGGTGGCTGGTCCTCGTATGGATAATAAAACCCTCGACGTGGGACAGGACTTCCTTTAAGGAGGCTCAGGGGGGAATGTTGTGACCGAATGAGAGTTCGCGAGGCTTCCACCTATTACTTTCTGGTGTAGTGCTTGATTCACCCATGCTGCGGCTGCTGGCTCGCATCGCCCCATCGGGCACCTGGCGCTTCCATGCGAGCTTAATCCTCCCACGCACGCTCCCGTGTATGTGGTCATACACTATAATCAGCGATGAAGGCATTGGAAGCTCCGTGAAACCGGACCCAGGAGGGCCCAAGGTGAAGAGGCCCTCAAGGGCCGTGCCAACATGGCCCACCCCTCCCGAGGCCCAGGAGTGAATCTGGAGGTGTTCGTGACCCAGTCGGTCCGCCAGATACATGACCTGGCGTCATCTAGACAACACAAGCAGCTTCGCGCCACGTGTCAAGGACTGCTGGGTGAGGTGCCGGTCTCTCCTGATAGTGATCTGGTCCTGGGCGTGAGATACTGATCGGGGTCCATGCAGCCAGACTCACCTTCTCCTCACCTTCCCGGTCCTACAGATTCACTGGGAGGTTCCCACGCCACACTGCAGCCTGGAGACCCCATCCTGCCCCCGCCCCTTTGCCAGGAGGTGGGTGGGTTGGGAGCTGTGTTGAGTGAGGATGGAGCAGTATTAGCCTGCTGAAAGTGCAAATTAGGACAGGTGGAATGGTGTGACAATCAAGTCTCCTATGCATACCATGTGGAGCCGCTGCATGCAAAGCTTTCAATCCCCCCCCTGCTCAGCGCTGCTAGTCCTGCGCCCCCGGCTGCACAGCAGAGCTCATCTCTCCCCTCTTTATCTGTTGCTTAGCTGGTGAGCATGCTGCAGGCGGCCTGCAGCAGCGGCGCCCCCTCCATCATGGACCCGGCCCTCGGCACGCTGCACAAGCTGGTCGCGCACGCTTTCCTGCAGGGCGAGTCGTCCTCAAGCGGGCGTGGCGATGATGGCACCATCGTCACCCAGGTACGTGGTGCTGGAGAGGGAAGTATTGTAGTTCGAAGAGGACCAGGCGCTCCCAGTGTTTGCATGTGCGTGCCCTGGGCGCAGGACTGCCACAGTCGCTGTGCGCCGCTGCTGTCATCCGGACGGGCTCTTCAGGCCTACTGTGCAGCCCCGCTGCCGGCCTGGATCGCCTCCCCCCCGCAGCAGACCCCCTGCACCCTCCTTCCGCGCCGCTCCCCCCCAGGTGGTGACCATGGTGGCAAGGACGGGGGTGTCCACCACGCCAGCCGTCCAGCTTGGCATGGTCCGCGCGCTGCTCACGGCCGTGACGGCCGAGCACTTTGTGCCGCATGGCGACTGCCTCATGCAGGCTGTGCGGGCGGTGTTCAACTTGGCCATCGGCTCCTCCGACCCAGGCATCCAGGCCACCGCCAAGTCGGCCCTCCTCCAGATGCTCAACACCGTGCTGAAGCGGGTGGACCACCAAGTCATGGTGGGCTGTGAGGAGGGGAGGGGAGGGGCTGTGGATAGTTTGGCCCCGGGGGCAGGGTGTCAGGGTCAGGGGGCCCAGCAAACGTGGGCAGGGCAGCGTTGGAGGCCTCCGTTGGGAGGCGAGGGGCCAAGCCCCCAGGACGGTGCTCCCCAAAACCTGCACGACCGTGAGCTGTGGCACAGGCCTTCCCACACGCGCGCTCTATTCCACCACTGCAAGACCTGCCTCATGCCCTTCGCGCCATCGGTCCCCCATCCTCATCGCAGACACCCATGGGCGTGTCGCCGGGCGGCCCTACTCCGACCCTGCACCGACGCATGTCCACGCCCACCTCCCAGGCCTCGCTGCCGACGCCCTACCCCTACCCTCCTGCCCTGGAGAGCGTGGATGAGGAGGGCGCCTCGGCGCCGCAGTCCGGCGCAGACTTTGTACCGCCACGCGCTGATGGAGAAGGGGCAGGGCCAAGGTCCGGGGACGAGTCTACAAAGCCAGGCGAGCAACAGCGAGTTCCGGGGTCGGAAGTGTCGCCGGCCTCTGGCCGGCCCAGCCCCGACCGGGCAGACCATGCCGAGGATGAGGCGGAGTGGCGGGACGACCCTGCCACCCTCGAGGCGGCGGCGCTGGCCTGGGGCGAGCGCGTCGCCTCTGCCAGCGAGTCGCGCGAGGCGGCGGCGCCCGGCGCGCCCGCGCCCTCCCCGCCCGGCTCGCCCAGCGCCGCCGACCTGCGACAGTCGGAGCTGGCGCCCATCGCCACGCCCACCGCCGCCATCGAGCTGCACAGCCGCAGCATGGCGCGAGAGGACATCCGCACCGCGCAGATGGCCACCATGGCAGAGCAGGTGCTGGGAGGGAGGGGACATATTGTACTTTCTTGGGGGGCAAAATGGCTGTTTGTTGTGCAGGGGAGGAAGGTGCTGGGACTTTGCCGGGAGAGGCCAGCCACGTCCGCATCTTCTTCTTTGGCACCTACCACCCCGTGGGATCTGCCGGTGACCCTCTGCACCTGATCATCGTGTCGTTATGCAGCCCCCATTCAAACTTTCATCCTTTCCACACAGGCCGACCTGCGGGGCCTGGAGCGCGCTCTGGAGGAGCTGCCGGCCTCCGGCCCCCGGCCGGGCGACGAGGGGCGGTCCAAGGCGGAGACGCCGCCAGACCCGCGCCGCGCGCTCATGCACTCGCGCCGCGCCTCGGCCTGGCGCCTGCTCACCACCATTGAGCGCGACGCCATCACCGTCCTGGGGGCCATGTGCAAGGTGGGCGGCGGCCCTATTGCACACGCGATTATCAGACACCGGACCCATCCCCGCGCACACTCTCTAAACCCTCCTCCGCACACTCTTTACACCCACCCCCACCCCCTCTCTGTACAGCTGGGCGCGCGCGAAACTTCGTGGGGCGCGGTGGAGACGGTGCTGCATGAGGGCAAGCTGCTGGCCCTGGAACTGCTGACCCGTGTGCTCTGCGACCCGCTGCACGACTGGCTGGGCGTGCGGCCCGAGTTCGCGGGCGAGCTGCGCGCGCCGCTGTGCCTGGTGCTCCTGCGCAACTGCATGTCGCCCTTCGACGAGGCCGTGCGCGCCGCGGTGCGCCTGCTCTGCGCGCTGGCGGCCGCGCCGCGCCTCCGCGCCGGGCTGCGGGCGGAGCTGGGGGCGCTGTACCCGCTCCTCCTCCTCAGACCCCTGGAGGCCGCGAGGTGATTTGGTATTTGGGGTGAATTGGGGGTGGGAGGATGTTGGATGGACGGTGTGAGGGGTTTCAGGCATCGCACATGCGGATGGCCTGGCCTTGGGATCTACCGCCCTGCGCTGGCATGTAAAGGCAAAACCCTGTCTGTCACAGACAGCCACGCTCGCCCCTCTGCCCCCAAGGCCCGAGAGCGTGTTCCAGGCGGAGGCTGCTCTGGAGGGCCTGCTGCCCATCTGCTCCTCACCTCAGGTCAGGAGCTGTTTAGGGAGGGGGGGAGAGAGGGAGAGCATGTGGGAACAGCAGCCCAAGGCTTTTGGTCCTGAAATGCATTGTTTGGACGAGTTGATCATGCAGACACTCAAGCACCCGAGGCACTATAGAGAAAGAGCAAGACGTCGTCGTTGTTGAAGTTTGTTTTTCCAGCCCATGCACTGGTGGGGCATATGAAGCATGAGTTGGGGCCCAGCCACCATGATCTTTCCTGTCTTTCCTGCCATGCCAGATACTGGTGGACGTCTTTGTCAACTATGACTGCTCACTCCAGGCATCAAACCTGTACGAGCGCAGTATCAAGGTGAGAGTGCCGGGAACAAATAATGGAGGCCATGCAGGTGACCACAGTGGCTCCAGCCGTAAGCTCATGGACGTCGCCTCATGACAGGGTCCAGATGGCGCGAAACTCTACATTGCTTTCATGGGCCTGCATCGTCTTGATTCAGCCCCTGCCCCCAATTCCTCCTCCCAAAATTACCCAGGCCCTGGGTCGTATGGCTTCCTTGACGGGGTCGGAAGGCTTTGGGCCGCCTGCAGCCACCAAGCGGCTCAAGGAGGCGGCGCTCAAGGTGGGGAGAGGTTTGGTGTCAGAAGAGGGGAGACATTTTGACGTTCTGGTGCGAGGAGGGTGAGTTTCACGCTTGGTTCATGTGCCAGCTGGAGGGGATGATGCCAGGGTCTCCATGCCTCGTCAGGATGTGATGTATGGTACCGAGCTCCACCTTCCTCTGTCACCATGAATCAGGCCCTCCTGGCGGTGGTTTCCTCCCTGGACACATGGGCAGGCCCCATCAAGTCACGTGCCATCACAGACTCTGTGGATGAGGAGGCGGAGGCGAGCGGGGAGGCCTCACCCGAGCGAGCTGCGTCCCTGCGCCCAGCCTTGGTGGAGGTGAGGGGGGTGCGATGTGCTCAACTCTTTGGGGCCATTTCTGTGGGAGGGGCTGGAACTCCTCCTGGGATGCCTACTTTGGGGCAAGGCTGCTCTCCAGAGTGTGCAATGCTGGGACTTGGCGCGATCAACTGCCATCTGAGCACTAATGATCACGAGCATTGCTGCTCAGGAGCTCAGATCACATGCTCTTATTACAAACCAGGAACTGGATCGGATTGTGGCTGACAAGCTGATGAAGGCCACCCTGCAGACTGGGATTGATGACTTCAATGCCAATCCCATCAAAGGCACGACAAGCTGCTGCATGAACAGGGAAACGTGTTGGGAGGCTGGGAGAATGGGCATTGGCAAGGCGTGCCCAGTGCTGTCCTGGGGCACTATGACCATGCCATCACGATGTCAAAGCTCGCAGTGGGCAGCGTCCTGCACCACCGAGCAGCGATGCATTCCCTCGGCGTCCTCGCACAGGCATGCGGCGGTTGGTGGAGTCGGGGCTGGTGGGTCCTAGCGCGCTCGAGGTTGCAGCATTCCTCAGGGAGCATGGCCCCCGTCTCAAGAAGGAGGCCCTGGGCGAGTACTTTGGTCACCATGAAGAGTTTGAGATGACGGTGAGCCACAGCTGGGCTTCCGGTGCTCGAGCCTGGTGAGGCTGTCAAGCTTTGGCGCCAGGGAACCCTGGCGCTCAACAGGCATCCTTGGTTGTGACGGCCGCCGTCGCTGTCCCTCGATGAGTTGCACGGCCTGCTGATGATGCACGGCGTGAGTGGTCAGAGCACAGACTCTGACAGATCGAGCCTCGTCCTCCTTCCCAGGTCATGCACGAGTTCATTGCCGCTCAGGCCTTCACCGAGACGACTCTGGATGCCGCACTGCGCCAGCTCCTCGTCGACTTCAGGTATGGCAGGGGATGGTGGCAGGTCTCGGGCGAGCTGGGGGGCTGTTACTATGCAGTCTGTCGTGTCCTCCCATGTGCCGTGCGCTCCCTTGGCACAGAGGCTGACATTGCAGGCCGGCAATGCTGGCCCCGGACGATGCAACGAGGCATGCATCATCCAAACATAGCCACCCACCACATACCACCCTGCCTCTGCACCCCAGGCTCCCCGGCGAGGCCCAGAAGATCGACCGCATCATGGAGGCCTTTGCGGCGCGGTACTGCGCTTGCAACCCCAACGCCTTCCCCACCACGGACGGCGCGTACCTGCTCTCCTTTGCCATCATCATGCTGAACACCGACGCGCACAACCCCATGGCCGACAGGTGTGGTGATGTGTTTGTGTCCGGTGGGGAATGTCTCTGGTGGCGGGGCTCGCCAAGAATGGGTCGTGTGCTGTTGCTAGCTGGCCTGCAGTGGGTACCCATGGGAAGCAAGAGGGGCGAGGAGGAGTGCGGCTGTGCACTCCCTGACCTCCTGCGTCATGGTCGGAGTCCTGCGCAGCACCCGATTGCCCACGACAACACCCCTCCCCCCCAAAACAATTACAAACCCGCAGGCGCATCAGCGAGGATGATTTTGTGACCATGGCCATGTACCAGACGGAGGGCGGCGACTTTGCGCCCATCGCGCCCGAGCCCGACCTGCGCGCGCTGTACCGCCGCATTCTGGCGCAGGAACTGGCCGGCGGCGCGGGCTCCGGCACCGACGACGGCGTGGGCGGCGGCGTGGTGGACGCGCCGCGGCGCAAGGGGGGCCCTGGCGGCGGCGGTGCGACCGCGGGGGCGCAACGCCCCGTCGCCGCCGCCGGCCCCGGCGCGCATGTGCGCCTGGCTGCGGCGCTGGGCCTGGGCCAGCTGGTGGCGCCGCTGTGGCCGGGCGCGGCCGCCTGGGACAAAGCGCACGGCGTGGACGTGGAGCGGCGGCGCCTGGCCTCGCTGACGCGCGAGGTGGTGGCCGCTGGCGGCACGGCGGGCAACCTGTGGCACTCGGCCACGCACGCGGAGCACGCGCGGCCCATGCTGCAGGCGGGTGCGGCGCCGCTGGCGGCCGGGCTAGCCGCCGCACTGGCCGACGCGGCCTCGCCGCCGGAGGTCGCGCGCGCTCTGGCGGGGCTGGAGCGCGCTGCCGCGCTGGCTGCGCTGCTCTCGGTGCCGGAGCTGCTGGAGGAGCTGTGCGCCGTGCTGGCGCGCGGCGCGGGGCTGGAGGGGGGCGCGGAGGATGGCGCAAGCAGGGTCGCCGGCGCCAGCCTGCCGCCGCCGGGGTCGCCCGCCGAGGCCAAGCAGGTGGCTTGCCTGGCCTGCCTGCTCAAGGTGGCCACCTGCCCCGAGGCCACCTACTTTGGCGCGGTCTGGATCGTGCTCCTGCGCGCCCTCTCCGCGCTCGACGCGCTGCTCGCGCGCCTGGCGCCGCCGGCGGGGGACGCCGCTGCTGCGGCCGCGGCAGGTGGGTGGGCGTGTTGTTTGAGAGGGGAAAGGGAGTTGCATTGAAAGGACGAGTATGGCAGGTCCTTACGGTGTTAGACATTCCTGAGGGGGAGAAAATAGTGGGCGCCACAGCACACCGCACCCCCCTGCTGTCAGAACTCAGCTGGCTGACTGCTGTGTTTTCCCGTCGCGCGTGCCAGTCCTCCAGCCCACTCACCTGCATGGCACCATCCGCCCCCCTTCGCCAGGCGACGCCGGGCCCGGCTCGCTGAGCAGCAAGTTCTGGGCGGCGCTGGGCTGGCCCGCAGCCGAGGACGGCGCGGCGACGCAGGCAGTGGACGGCGCCGCGGCCGGCGCTGGGCGCGGGGCAGCACCCACCTCCGGCCCAGTGCCCCCCGCCGTCCGACCTGCGGCGGCATCCCCGTTGCTCAGCCCGGGCGCGGCCCCCGGCGCGGGCCTGCTGCTCTGGCACGATGCGTCCGGCGCCACGGCCGTGGACCGCGTCTTCTCGCGCAGCCCGCGCCTGACGGGCGACGGCGTGGTGGACTTTGTCCGCGCGCTCTGCGCGGCGGGGGCCGAGGAGCTGGGCACGCCCGGCTGCCCGCCGCGCCTGCACCTGCTCCAGCGCCTGACGGAGGTGGCGCTGCTCAACGTCCCGCGCCCGCGCCTGGTCTGGGCCCGGCTCTGGGCCATGGCCTCCGCGCACCTCGTCTCCGCGGCCTGCCACGCCGACGAGGGCGTGGGCCTGGTGGCCCTGGACGCGCTGCGCCAGCTGACGGGGCGCCTGCTGGCCCGGCGCGAGGCGGCGCGCGCCGCGCCGCACGCGGGCGAGGCACTGCGCCCCTTCCTGGCGGTGCTGCGCCTGTCGGACTCGGAGCGCGT